CCCCCCCCCCCTCTCTCTCTCTCGTCTCTTTTCCCGCCATGTGCACTTGCTCGAACGCAGCTTAGAGCGCAGTCCATAGCGATGACCGATTGTAAACTGGCCACGTGGACCGATTGTAAACTGGCCACGTGGACCGATTGTAAACTTGGCCACGTGGACCGGTTGTAAACTGGCCATTTCACCGACGGGCTTAGCTAAGTTGGTGCACCCACCAACTGTTGAAATGCGGACCAAAGTTCGAATCTAGATGGAAGCAGATGAACATAAATTTTTCTGAATCACCTGGGGCCGGCCAGTTTCACGATGATGTGTCTCGAGGCTGTCGCCCTTTTAAAAAGGAGGAAAAAAAAGAGAGAGGAGGAAGAAAGAAAGAAAGAGGAACAAAAAAAACCCAAACAAATGTCCATTTCAGTAACGCCGATATGCATGTCGTGGACGTCGTCGTTGATCGTGGTCCACGTGCCAATCCACGTGGCAGTCCACGTGGCAATCCACGTGGCAATCCGTGTGATCGTCCGCGTGCTCTCGCGAAGACTTCTTATCGTCCATATCCTTTTGTCATCGTTTTCGCTCTCCTCTGCTTGTCCCTTACTTACCTTATCTGCATTCAATTTGTACCCTTGTCCGTCCGTTCTTACTGTATTATCCTTTATATCCTTCTTTTCATCCTTCTTTTATTTATACTACCTTCCTACTTATCCTTATCCTCGTTATCCTTATCCTCGTACTGTCGCAAGGGTCATCAACCGACCTATGTCACCGCCTTTGTCTCCTGAATAGAACGCATGGGCATTATTCCTGCAGCGCATCCTTATCCTCATGCCTTAGCAAGGGTCATCAACCGACCTACGTCACCACCTATGTCTCCTGAATACCTGAATAGAACGCATGGGCGTTATATTCCGGCAGCGTGTACTTCCCTTTCAGATAGAGCATCCAGGACTGCCATGCGTACTACTCGGGGAAGGCTGCGCATGGTATGGTCTGCCACCACTCCCTTCACTCCTTTTTTTCATCCCTACTCTGTTGCAACAGGGCGAGGTCCCTCTTGCCCAGATCATCATCATTTTTTTGTTTTTATTTTTATTTTTTAATTGATTCATGTTTAAGAATTTGAGAAATCTGAATTTGATCTAAATAACCTTTGACAGCCGCATAAATAACAACAACTTGCTTTTCAATCGAGATTGGACTATATTGTGGTTGTTTCAACACTTCTGGTAGTCTCGCGCCACGGTTCAATAAATATTGAGTGGCAGCATCAAGATCACGATGCAACAGGGCGAGGTCCCTCTTGCCCAGATCATCATCATTTTTTTTGTTTTTGTTTTAATTTTTTAACGATCTTCGTGATCAATGGTCGGTAATGAAGAATCCAGGTAAAAAAAAAAAAAAAAGACGAGGAAGCCGGAAAAGGAAAACAAGATAAGCAGGGAGCTTGCCACATGGGGCTTTGTGACTTGGAACTGAGTCTTTAAAAAAAAAAAAAAAAGGAAATGAAGACGAGTTTTTTTGTTGATGGGCGTGCGTGACAACCGTCAACACGTGTAAAAAAAAAAAAAAAAAAAGTAAAAAAAAGCTAAAAAGAGGAAGCCAAAAACGCGAAAAAAAAAAGCAAAAAACGAAAAAGAGAATCCGGGAAAAAATGAAAAGGGAAAAAGAAAAAAACAAGAAACAAGCCGAAAAGCGTATTACGAAAAAATAGGGGATAATACGTTCCTAGATCCCTTTTTTTTAAATTATTTTTATTATTATTTTTGTTTTATTTTAAAGACGGCCTTTAGATATCATCATATTGACCTGACTTGACCGGCCCCAGGGCAATGCATAATGATTTTGTTCTCTTCATCTGAGGGTGGAGCTGGATTCGATCTTGAGTCTGTGTTTCATCAGTTCGAATAGAACGCCTGGTCATTATTATAGCTGCATTTGGCCCATCTTTCAGTCCAGATGCAGTGATAATGACCGGGCGTTCTATTCGGGCGAAGACGGTAGGCCCGTTGGTGCGCTCCTAAAGCCCTAGTTCACTAGCTCTGTCTTTTCTTCTTCTTCTTCTTCTTCTTCTTCTTCTTTTTTTTTTTAATTACCGGGATGCTCCTGCCCACCCATCAAACCTGTAGAACTACCCCGCCATCCACTTGCCAGGGTCACCGCCCGCTGGCAGACCCTATCTATCGCCCAACCCAGCACCCGCGATTCGAGGTACAATGCACCGATAGATAGGGTCTGCCAGCGGCCGGTGACCCTGGCAAGGAGGCCCACCGTGATGATGCCTTGCAAGAACGCCCACCTTGATGATTCCTTGCAAGGACGCCCACCGTGATGATGCCTTGCAAGAACGCCCACCGTGATGATGCACCGATAGGCTCTGCCTGCGGGCGTGACCCTGCCCGCGGGTGCTGGGGGGGTTGGGCGATAGGCTCAAACCAACCCGCCACCTATAGAACTACCCTGCCACCCTTTTGGCAGGGTCACGCCCGCAGGCACACCCTATCGCCCGCCCAACCTAGCACCAGCGATTCGAGGCAGAATGCACCGGTATCCCAGGGGCAAGGTCCCACTTGCACGGATTAAGAGATTCTGGCCGTTGATCTTTGCTATCGACGGTCAATATCGCTTAATTCGTGTAAGTGGGACCTAGCCCCAGATCGTTCCTTACAAGGACGCCCAGCGTGAGGATGAGGCCTTCACACAGAACGATGCTCCCCTGACTCCGACACCTTACCACGGCAAGGCAAATAATCTTATGCAATATGCAATGCAATGGGCAGGCCTACTCGCTAACTTCATCAAATCAGCATCCATGCCTTGAAACGCCCAAAGCAGCGGAAAAAAAAGAAAAGGCGGCCGAATTTGCATTTCTCTAGATTGATCTTGTACTTGGTGCTTCCGGAGAAGGCCTAGCACTACACTATATCTAAGTGCTCCGCATGTCCCGCCAGACTCCCACTAAAGACGAGTATATGGTCCAGGTACACGGCAATGAACTTGTCCCAAATAATAATGAAATAAGAAGAATCTAATTCATGGCGTGCTGGAACGCTGTGGGTGCATTACAGTGGCCGAAGGGCATCACCACAAACTCATACAGACCGTACCTAATCTGAAATGCGGTTTTGTGCTGATCCTCTGGTCTAATCTGTATCAGGTATGATACCTGGACTTCAGATCTATCTTGTCTTGGTGAAGTATCTACGGGCCAGATCCCACTAGCAAAGAGGATTGGAATAAGCCTATGAATCTGGACGTGTTTTGTGGAGAGGTGCAAAACATTCTGATTGGTCTGCTTTTCTGCATCTCTGGGTGGAACACGTCCAGATTCAGCCGCTTATTCCAATCCTCTTTGCCAGTGGGTTCTGGCCCATCCTCCCTGCACTCTATCCAAGGGGTCGTAGATGGGGGGTATGCTTCGCAGTAGTAGGCTGATTGCAAAAAAAAAAAAGAAAAAAAAAGAAAAAAAAAAGAAAAGTAGGGCCTTTTTTTTGTATTTTTTTTTTCCGGGAGAAAATTAGTGCTAGCGCATAAACAAGTTGGCTCGTCGTCACAAATGCACTCTTGCGGAGTGGCTGATTTTTATTTTGTCATACTTACTTTTTTTTTTTTTTTTTTTTTTTCCCCTCCCCAAAGGGCGGCGACGTTGATATACTATCATTGAACTGCCCAGCCCCAGGTAATTCAGAGTTATTTTGTTGTGTTCATCTGATTGCATTTGGATTCGATCTTGGGTCTGTGTTTCAACAGTTCATTGGTGTGCCAACTGGACTACGGTAGGCCTGTTGGTTTATTTACCTTCCCCCCCTCTCTGGGACGCAGCCATTTCGACGGTGAGCCAGAGGAGAAATGTGCTTTGCGCACCCCTGCTTCACCGTTCATGGCTGTGTAATAGACGTTGAGGCACTCAGTCATTGAGTGAGTGGGCGGATTGGAGGTTGTGTGCATGACAGGGTGTGAAGTCTCTCATTCACTCTCACATCAACCAATCAACA